TACCTCTCTACAATTGTAATAAGCAGGGATAAATCTAGGACCAATGTTAAGGGTAGCTGATTTTTATTCCTAAGTTTATAGGTCCTACACTGTCTAGTAGGCCTCTTTTATACAATTTCCTTAGTCTTGGTTCAGAGTTAGGAACATATTTAGACTGGTTAATGACGGAGACAAAAATGATCTTGGAAGTACTAGAAGCATTATGATCACTTTCATTATATCCCAAACCTCCTTTATTACTAGCAGGCTTGCCCATTCCTAAGATACTATTAAGTTTTACAAAACTACTAGAGAATGCAATGAGTTGAGTGTTAAAATCCTCAAAATCGCTCATGATTATTTTTTAAAATTACATTTATAGCGCTCAACTCACCAAGTCTCCTAGAGGACTTCTCAAGATCACTCATCGAATCCTTAACCTGGGTATCTAAGGATTCATTCACAGACTTCAACTTACTCAGGAACAAGGTAGATTTCTGAAGATCGGTTGTTAGTTTTTCTTTCTCTAACTCAAGAACTTTGACCTTCTTACATAAAGCTTTATTGGTAGTCAATATCCTAATACTCTCCTCATACTATTTATCAAGCCTCATGTATGTCTTCCTCCTCTTCAGCAACTTACTCAAATTGCTCGCCACTTTCTATATCTTCCACCTTATCACACTCCTTATCAGATTCACTCCTAATCCTAGCAATAAAAGCTATATACTTCCATTTCTCTTCTTAAGTGGACTTCTCACTTTGATTGTCTGAGTTAGACTTGTCATCAGTGAGAATAACATTCGACGCTTTATCCTTATTTTTCCTAATGTTAAGGCACTTACTTCAAATATGGCCAAAACCTTTTACATATTGAGATCTCTTTCAAGACTCACTGGAAGTACCTATACATCTCTCTTGAGGCTTTTTCTTATTTCTAAACATTTTTCGAAATTTCTTAGAAAAATAGGCTAACTCCTCAAATGGAAGAAGTATACTTATTTTCTAAAATATCGACTCACTGAATTATAAGCTCATATATCTTATCACCATTTTTCTTATCAGATAGTAGCGTAGTTGAGTAGTTTTGGAGCCTATGGACTCGTCGAGTTAAGCCACACATATTGTAATTAGTTGTATGACTTACTTTGTCAGTTTATATAGTACATGTTTCTTTTGGGGTACTTGAATCTTTTGTCAAAAAAGTTAATTTGTAAATTTGTGTACCCTTTTCGGGTGCTCATTGCATCTTTTGTATATATTGTGCATTTTGAGTCTTTTTGCTTGTAAAGAAATGTAAATATCGTTCAAGTGCACTTTATTTTGACTAGCTTGTGTGTAAATGAGCTAGTGTACCCTACTTTTGTGTATATGTTTGAGGATGTTGATTATTGTTTAGGTGGTTTTAGTCCATATTGTTCAGGTCCACTAGGCTAATTCGGGAAGGGATGTATCAAAATGTATTATAAAAAAGATTAATATTATTATCAAATAAAAAAG